AATTTCAGTGAAACTGGTTTACTAATGATCAGTTTACATTCATTTCTTATCTTCAACGCAGCAAATGTTTCCCATTCATTTCACCGTTTAATAAAAGTTTAAGATAGGAAATTCATCACAGCAAGCATCACTATAAATATCATCCGTCCTTTTTGTTAAAGTTCAGTAACAGTTACAAAGCAGCTCCAAGCACAAACTGATTTTATGCCTCCACGCAGTCAATAGTTGAGGCTGGAGGCATTACGTTTATGGGTTGTCCGTCTATGTGTACTGTACGTCCCTTCGTCCAGCCCATTCTCGTGAATGCGAAATCACAGGAATGCACTGAGGGAATTTCTTCAAAGTCCACTCTGACTCAAGGATGAACTCATTAGATTTTGGTAGTCGCATGTCAAAGGTCAAGGTCACAGTAACCTCACATCTGTCCCATCCCCAGGAATTTAACTGGTTGGCAGAGGCATACAACCACGAAGTGGCAATTCTAGTTTGAAACTCTTCACTGTTGGTGCGTTCAAGTGTTCCTGGGAAACTAAAATATCTAGAGTCCTAGTCTGAACAAAAATTCACAATAAACTTCAGCAATTACAGATAATACCCATATTTAAATGCATTGTGCTGTACCATAAAGAACCAAATGTTTATCATAAAAGTGAGTAAAATTTTACTTTTACTTTTCTACTAGTTGCAAAAGGCTTTACAGGAGGGAGAAAGAAAAAGAAACAAGAGACAAGACGATGAGCAAAAATATGGACGCTGCACACTGACAGTGGTGGAGTGCAGTCGCTGAAAATTAACTTGCAGTGAAGAGTGAGTCGGTGAACTCAATAGCAAAACATAAACAAGGGAGCAGCTTTAAATGTATTGGTCGGATGTGTCAGTCTGAGCACCCCTCATTAATCACCTCCGATGCACACTCACTCTGACTGTTACTGTACATGTCAAGTTTATTTTGTTTCTTATTACCAACGAAGCTTTGTAAAGTGCTGTCAGTATGCAGTGCCTTGATAAATCATCCTGCCAGGGTGACACTTGATTAACAAATATCCAGCCATTACAGTTAATCAAAAGCTTGATTCGACCAATCCCTCCGTGCATCCATCCACTTTCTTAAGCTTATCCAAGATCAGGTCACAGTGGCAGCAGGTTCAGCAAGGTAGTCCAGATGTCCCTCTCCCCAGCAACATGTTCCAGCTCCTCTGGCAAGATTCGGAGGCGTTACCAGGCTGAGGTCTCCTGCCAGTTGGACGTGCCCAGAACACTGCCAAAGAGAGGTGCCCTGGAGGCATCCTGATAAGGTGCCCAAACCACCTCAACTGATGTGAAGGTGCAGCAGTTCGAGTCCCTTCCGAAAGTCTGAACTCCGCACCCTATCTCTAAGGCTAAGTCCAGGCACCCTGTAAAGGAAACTCATCTCAGCATTTTGTATTCGTAATCATATTGTTTTGGTTATTACCTACAGGTCGTGACCATAGGTGAGGGTTGGCGCATAGACTGACTGGTAAATTGAGAGCTTTGCCTTTCAGCTCAGCTCCTTCTTCACCACAACGGTGAATTAAATCCTAAATCTTGTGTATGTCAAGTAATCAGTGCAAGGGTAACTCATGATCTTGATGTAGTACTATTATACTGTATATGCACTACCAGTCAAATGTTTGGGCACAGTTTCCCATTCTGTTCAGTGGAAAAGTGTGTCCAAACCTTTGACTGGTAGATACTTTAATACATTTCTCAAACTGCTTTGGCTGTTAAAGTTTCGTCTTCGTCTTCATATCAAGAGACTGGTCCACATAAAAACTTTTTATTTTAAAAATAAATATTCTAAATTTGCAGCACAAGTAAAGGAGCCTCAGGAAGATAAATGTAAAGGGCACTGGGTCCAGTTAAATGTAGTAAAGCATATGCTGTACTAAACTATTAACCCACATGTGGATTCCTCCAGTAGGAAACATGGTGCACAGAAGCCTGTGTTTATCTGTGTGACATAATAAGATGCAAATAGCTGGCTAATTTTAGACTTGTCAGACTTGCAGCTACCCAGTAAGTTAATTTTACTATATAGAGATGAGGTGAGAGGAACGGTGAGGGCTGTAAAACCAAAAATGGCAGTCATGCACTCAGACATCTTCACATAATTCCAACCTTTAGGGAGTGAAATTTTTGCTGATAGCCTCAGGAGTGCCCCCACTGGTCCCCTGGATCCCACTTTGGGAACCATGGCTTTACACTCTCTGTCAATGAAAGTGAAGCCATAGATAGCATGTTCATTTAGTAGGTGAAGAATCTTTCCCTGCATGTCCAATGAACTGTGTGTTGAGGGCATGGGCCAAGGGCAGGAGGGGGTGACATTACCACAATAGGAGTGTTGGGGAGTGTGGGAACCAATTCTCCCAGGGACAATAGACACTTCCCAGTGGCTACAGCGTGCCCATTCACTATCAGCTGCTGGGCCAGCGGAGCACAGCACTGAATACGCACCAGCTCAGCACAATGCTGCTTTCTCCCAAACAAGACCAGACTGTTTCCTATCCCAAAGACAACACAGGCCAGCTCTAGCCTATACACAGCCTCATTCTCATATAACCAGTCTCTTTCTCACTCACTCCATGTCTCAATCGCTTTCTCCAGCTGTCACACACCAACAGGAGGGTAGCAACAAGGATGGGGATTGTGGAGATAGGCTGGGGCTGCTGTGAAGTATCTAGGCCACCGTTTCTCTCCATGAGAACTGCTGGTCGTTCAGATATTCTGGGCTGAAATGTTATTAGCGTAACCCAGTTTACCCTGTACCAGGCGGCTGCTGGAAGAATCACTCCCCACAGGGACGCATGCTCAAGGGCAATGCACACAACAAGGCGGGAAGGAGCAGGAAGAAAGGTGATGCTGAAGCAGGGGAAAGGTGATTAAAGATGTGATTTGTTATTGGATTCTGCAGTCAGAGGAATCACTGGGGGGCACCAACAGAGGTGGATACACTGGAGTCAGTTTGTGTAATTCTGTTTGTGTCCACACTGTGCTCTAGTGTGACCAGACTCAAACCGATACATTGTATTTCATGTGTGCTCCCTCTGGTTGCTGCGGCAACGGGATACTGAGAACCAATGGGGAGGGTGGGGCTGAGAGAGAAGAGAGCGAAGGGACGCAAGCGTGAGAGGTTTTAAATAGTGGAAAGTTGACACACACACACACACACACACACATTTGTACAGCTAAAACGTGTGCTGCAATGCGCTTTTCTATGCATTGCAGCACACTTAAAGTGCTTTCACACTATTTGCATTCACCCATTCGCACTCCCAAGCACTCACACATTCACGCACTGGTGATATCACCAGGAGCAACTGAGGGTTCAGTTTTGCTCAAGGACACTTCAATGTGTGGACCAGACAAGCTGGGAATCGAACCGCTAATCTTCCTGTTAAGAGACGACCCGCTCTACCTCCTGTGCCACAGCCGCCCCAGCTACATTTGTGCGGACACTTTAAGATAATGCACTCCCTAGCCCCTTACAATAACCTAAAACCATCACACCTAGATGCCTAAACTAACCTAAACGCACAACTAACCTGAACCCTAAAACCAAACAAGTCTTAACCCTCAACACAGCTTTTAAAGGGGTGTGAGAAAGTGAGGACCAGCCACTTCCATGGTAAAAACAAACAGCAATAGAAATGTGCATCTGTCATCCTCATTGAATACAGCAGACTCACGACACTGAGTTGGATATGAATGAATGTATTTATTGTGCGAGTAATTAATATGTTTTCATAACATCATTTCAGTGTTCCCTTGAAAGCGTGTTCTCACCAATGACTCATCTGCTTTCACTCTTACTTTGCTTTTTTAGCTCAGCGCTACGCTGCTGTACACAAACAACATTTCAACATCTCATTTGCATCTTTAAAAAGTCATTAAACCAGTGTATTCTAGAATTATTGTCATGTTTATCCACCAGGCTATTTATCTTGAAATTTCCCATATGAATATGTCTCTCTAAGCTTATTTGCAGAAACTAAACAGCTCAGCTACCTCCCGATACAATTCTTCAGTAAAGTGGAGGTTGTGAATGTAATGGGAGGAGGGCCAGGTGAAAACGAAAGTTGGTCTGAAACATCTTGAAAAGAACATGTAGAGATGGGTAAAAACATGATCGGCTCGTTTGATCACGCTGCATACACTTTAGAGACGGTCCCCAACTTCAAATCGTCATTGTCCCCGTGTACCGTCATTTTCAGAGCAGTGCACTTCAACACTGGACCGTGAGGTAAAAGGATCACATGTGCAGCATCAATAACGCTTTATTCTGTAATACACAGCAAATCTGGCGGTGATTGATGATCTCACTCAAAAGTTGTTGATAATGAACCTAGCAAAAAAGTCAGACTATCCAATGTCAGTGTCTACACCTTCTTAAAACAGCTGAGCTTTGGTGCCTGGTCCAAGTCCATTAGATCTTAATGTAGCGACAGCAGAGAGGTCATCAGATAAAAATCAACATTTACTGTCATTTCCACATTCGGGCTTCCGGTTTTGCTAATGCCTGCTGTCTGGAGCAGTAACACTTGGTATCTACCTTGTAAATCATAGCGTTTGACACACAGGAGGGCCAACCCCAGTGGACCAGAGTCAGCAGTCCACCTCCACCTGAAGGACAAAGGGCATTCTTTTGAGGACAGTGAAGTCCAGATCCTCTCCAGAGAACATCGCTGGTTTGAGAGAGGAGTTAAGGAAGCTATTTTTGTAAAAATAGAACATCCCTCACTAAACAGGGGTGGTGGACTAAGACACCAACCAACTTGCTGGTCAGGAGACGACTGCCCTACGTCATGAGCCACAGCCACCCTGTGTGTTTACTCAAGTTAAGCTCTGTATTAATCTCGCTGAAAAGCACATAGCTTCTTCTCCTTAACGCGATGTACTTCAATCATCTGAGTGTCGTCTACAGCATTATGGCTGCCATGTCAGTGTCCCTGCGATGTTCCTTCTGTGAACACTTTTCCTACCTGCATGGCGTCGGCGCTGATTATTTCTCCCTGAAGCCGTTTTCCGATCTCGATAGCCAGCTTGGACTTTCCGGTGCCGGTAGCCCCCAAAATAACCACCAACGACGGAGCCATCGCTCTCCGAAAAGTACACTGCACGCCGCGACTGGCTGCCGCCATGATGCCGCTTGCTCTGCTCCCAGCTGACGTCCGTGCGCATGCGCAATGGGCGAAGAGAGGTGAGGTGGGTTGTTTCCAGGCAACAGCCAGCCGTTACTGTGGCAACATTGACTGATGTAGTTTTGTAATTTAGGTGGTTACATAGATATTATTTTAGGGCGGCGTAGCGGCGCGGTGGTTAACGCTGTCGTGCTAGAAGGTTCCGGGTTCGGGCCTTTCTGTGTGGCGTTTACATGTTCTCCCTGTGCCTGCGTGGGTTCAATCTGGGTAGTTGATTGGAGATTCTAAATCGCCCCTAGGAGTGAGTGTGTATCTAGCCACAGGGATTTCACGTCAGTGACTTCTGTCCCCAGCCCGGTTAAACAGAGAGGGTTGTGTCAGGAAGGACATGCGGCGTAAAAACGGGCCAAATTTACTCCTGCGAGTCGGACTGTGGCGAATCCTAACGGGAACAGCCGAACGTAGTTTAGTAAATAGATATTATTTTAACATTTTAGCCGTAACGGTGTAAATTGCACTCCACAACTGGTAATTGCAGCTTTTCCTATTATTAAATTAGATTCAAACCAGTTCAATTAAAAAAATCCAACAGGTGTCTGAACAGACTTAGCTATCTTTCCTCCTAAACAGCTGACTCGGGATCTACCCCATGTAATTCCATCTGTACTGTTTACATACTCATTTTGCACATGCACACTCACTGCTGAATAGTTGCACTTCACGGCTCCCACGTAGCATTTATTCTCTCTGCGTTATATTGTGTTCTTGTATTTTTATTGTGCTTCTTTCACTTGTTGCTTTAAAGTGCCTTAGATTTGCTACTGCCTATTTAGATTTATTACTCATCTACTTTATATTTCACTTGTATTGTGTGGCATTCATGTGGACGACAAAGTAAGAATTTCATTGTACAGGGAAACACATTTCCTAACTGTGCATATGACAAACACTTTGAACTTTGTTGTTGCATTTGTAAACAGATCAGTTTGTTGGTAAGTTTAACAATTACTGCTTTGCAGAGAGATTTTCAGCATAGTTGGTGTGGTTGCTGTAGCGACTGTCCACTGCAGTGAAAAAAAAGATGCCTGTTGCTACGGCAAGGATGCCAGGATGGGTTACCCCGGAGATGGCTCAGAACATTTGCTGGATGGGGAGAGGGAGATGTGTTCGCTCATACAGGTGTTTTTTTTTTTAAGAAAACCAAGGAAAATACAATAACTCTCTAATCCTGCTCAAAATGAAACACTGGATTCAAGTGTAGCTAAATCCAGCTAAAGAATGAGTAACAGATATAGAGTACAGCTAGATGACAACTTTTGCTGTGTGTGTGTGTGAGAGAGAGAGAGAGAGACAGAAAGACAAGACAAAAGGGTAATTTATGATGTCAAACCAAGAAATTTATTTTTCTGACTTGCTTTTTATACACAGAGGCTTCTGAGGTACAGAAAAAAAAAGTGCTGAGACAAGGATCCAAAATCGCAGTAGCTAAACTTCCAAAAGTAAGCAACATCCATTGCTGCCATTGTGCCAACAGCAGAGAAGTAACTGGGGCCAACCACTGCTGTGGGTGCACCCTTAAAAATAAAAAAATAAAAAATTCAGGGCTACCAGTGGTTTGTGCTGAGTTAATTAGCAGAAGTCACCTTATAATGATTTCAGGGTTCACATTACCCTGATCTAACCCTACTCTCATGTCTGAGGGTGGCTTGTGAGGTTGCGTTACGTGCACACACACACAAACACACACACATTGGGAGGCACATTACTCAAGCTACAGACTATAGAGTTTCCTGAGTGATGATAAAAGCAGTGTGATTGAATCATTTACAGTACTACATCCAGGACTGTTCTGTTGCATGGCTTATTGGACAACAGGGAGCACCAGGCTTGCAAAAACACAGAATGAAAGCAGTAACATTAAGGTCACTAAAGACTACACACAGCCAGGAGTTTAAAAAATCAGTTGATCCTCTTAAACCCTGCGCTACCCGTGCCAGATTTAAAACTGCGCAACAGCTACAATGACTGGATTTAAGACAGGAGCATTTAGGTGCTCTCCACTTCAGAAAGAGAAAGCAGAGCTTAGATGCCAGTTTTCAGCATATAACCACCAGTAAAGCCCTGCCAGCTACAATAACAAAAACAATTAGCTCACACTGAAACTCAGTAGGAAAATATAGTATAAAACTTTTGTCAACTCTGACTTGTACAAATAAAGGAACTCCAGAGACAGAAGAGGTAATGAAAACATGCATTGCAAAGTAAATGGTGCGACAAAGTGGCTAGTGTGATCAATGTTCAGTGTTTTATTTTGACTTTTTCATCATTTTATTAACAAAAATAGAAGCTTTGAGTTATCTTTGAAAAGCCAGCAAGCTTGGCCCCAGTTTTTAGCACATGACTAGGATGAGTAGACAGCTCTGGTTTTGGTTTCAAAGGGACTGTACAGTAAGAGCACTATATACATAACTTTCAACCAAATGCTCTACATACATTGAAAAGGCTTCTATAGGCATTACATCAAATGCAAAAAGCTACAAATATATTCAGACAGCAAGAGGAAAGCAATATACAACTGAAACTCAATGGGCCATCTCCAAGCAAACATTGCATACATACAGATTCAACTGAAGGTTTCTCTAAGAGTTTCTTTTAGTTAATTACTTGAAGTCATCATTCACCTTTTGGCTGGTCTCCATGGCACACCTATAATAAAGGAGTTAGGTCTTGCCAACCATTTTATTTTCATAGGGTTTGTTTGTTTTTTTGCACACTGCTGCTTGACAAAGTGAAATCACAAACAGCACCATTTTCTCATTTTGTCCAAATAATGCTACAAAACAGGCTGTTACTGTGGGCATGGTGCTGCTGTCGAAACATCTAACGCAAAACAAGTTATGACTGGAAACCTGCAGGCACAGAAGTTAGGACATAACCTGAGCTATTTCAGAGGAGCAGAATATCAGGACCTTTCCAGTTGTAACATTACTGTTGCAAGGGTAGGTGCACTCCCAATAAAGCACCTTGAATCTCCACTGTCAGCATGCATAAACCCTAAATTTACAGTTGCTGACAAGGACAAAAAAAACAAACAAGAAGAAATGAAGGGGTTTTGAGAGAGAAAGAAAAATGGGGGGGGGCTACAGAGCCAAAAACAGGCTTAAATTGATGACAAAGTTTACAAGTTGTATGCCATGCGCTAATGAGCAAGTGACCAGATGAGTTGAAAGTTAAAGGGGGAATCTATGAAGACATTTCCAGGGGCCCTTCAGAGTGATCAAATGAGGAGACACCACTGCTATACAATCACACCAAGCAGATGTCTGACCAGACCATGCAGCAGCTACATACCACAGTCATAGCAGTTTATCAACTGGAAGCTACTGCATTGACAGCTGCTCTTCCAGTAGTAGGCAACAAATTTGAACATATTTAGCAAGGGGAAAATAAACAGTGTGACAAACCTATACTTATTAACCACATTAATCTGCCTGTAAGATGCCCTGCAGGCTGAGTCCCTAGCTTGCTGTCCTGACTGGCTTGTGGCCTTGTCAATTACTCAGACACCAATGTGCAAACCACAAAAATCTGAAAAAAAGAAAAAAAAAAATACCGCACTACACCAATGTGACTAACTCAAAGTGAATATTAGTGTCGCCTTCACGTAGTCCCATTCAGCTGTGTGAGTGTCCATGTGTGGCGACAGCTAACCCAGATGCTCTGGATCGTTTGAGCTGTGCCAACCTCTGCAGCAACTGCAGCTGCCTGGCTTTCAGCTGCTTCCTCTCCTGAGCCTTCTGTCTCTCGTTGGCATGAAGCTGCTGCAGGTACTCCGTGGCTCGTGTCAGAATTGCCACCTTGGGCGTTTTGGGGCAGTCTGCTAAGCCCGGGATCTCGTCCCGCAGTGACAGGAAACGGTAGCGCAGGTCATTACGGCGCTTGCGCTCCAGGAAGTTGTGCGCCTTGCGCTTGTCAGTGTCCTCACAGTCTGAGGACTGGGGGCTGGAGAGGTGGGAGTGGGCCTTTAGAGGGGAGCTGTGGGGATGGGAGGAAGAGGAGTAAGGAGGAGAAGAAGGCAATGCGGAGGAAGTAGGAGAGGTGGCGCTGAGGTTGGGCAACTCTGACCTGACTCCAGCCACAGTCACATGAGACTTTCTGCTTTCCAGGTTCAGAGGGGCGTGGCCAGGTCGGGGCTGCTGGCAATGTGGGTTCTGGGGAGGCTGGGTTGGCTGGACGGAGGCCTCCTGCCGAACCCTCTTCCGAGGTGGTTCAGCTGGTGGGGGGAGAATGTCTGGAGAAGGGGCAGCGTAGTTGTGCTGCTGTTGGTGGATGGAGATGTGGAAACGCTTCGTGCCAGGATCAAGGGGGTCAGCTCGCACCGTTATGGTCACAGGTTTACGAGTGCTGACCAGTCGACGAGGTTTACATTGCTGCTTGTGCTCCACTGTCACCACATCAATCTCTTCTTCATCCTCATCCTTATCGTCATCATCTGAAATGGCAAAATATATTTATTAAATAAAATGTTTAATTGTAGAAAACATTAACAAGTGAGAGCTGAGGTAACAAAGATGGGACACGCAGGGTGAGTGCTCCACCTCACTAGACACTCGCCTTGGCCTGCTGCTACAACAACCTCATGAGACCAACATGATCTTTTTGTCCTACACAGACACACTCCCACCAATGCTGTACATCATCACTGCATTAGGTCAGCTCCCCTCCCCCAGTGGAAACTCCCTGTTAGGCTGTGTCTAACAAACACTCAGGTGAAAATCATCAACTCTTCCATCTATTAAAATGAGCAGACCAACATTCCAACATGGCACACATTTACAAACAGTTGTGGCTCTATTTATTAGAATGGAAACAGCATATTAAACACAAGGAAAGGTCTTGTCTGCTTGATTCCGAAATGATCAGACTCTTGTAAACTGAAATGCTTCCGAGGTAACTGCACTACACTTATTTCTTGGCTAAAAGGCAGAGAAGCATTTAAGTTTAAGATCAATTAAAGTAACTGCACCTCTGCTAATCTAACTGCTAGGAACACAGTAAAAAGGAGGGGGGAGTGCTTGCCTATTACTTCCAACAACATTTATATGACAAAGGATGGCACCTCATATTACAAGGCATACAGCACATATTCCCTTCAGCATACATTTATTTCTTATGTCTGCTCAATCTCCTCTTATTTGATCACACATTATGCCCTGAAATGGTCCAAAACGCTGCCTCCAAACTAATGTCAAAGACCTCTGCAGGCCTAGCTGACCTCTTAAAGGGCTAATCCCGTTCTATTCACAGCCCAGGCTGGCTGACACCGAATCCACCCAGTGACACAATTGGCGCTGCAGCCTGTTGAGTGGAGGAATGCAGCAACAAGTTCCCTCTGTGACGTTCCACGCTCCATTATGCATGGTCCCAGTTCAACATCACATGACAGCCTACACGTATCAAACTCTTGCTAACTGTAGCAGATCTCAAGTCAGAGTAAATTTAGGCTCTATTGATTGTCCCCTCCCTTTTCCTCAAGGTTACATCAAGTTTCAATACCAAGCACTCTTTGTTTAATTCAAGTTAAATCTGAGCCACAGAGCAGAGGAGAGGATATGGTTTAAGTGAGACTGGAAAAACAGGGAGAGGGAGCAGCTGGTCTGCTGGAGCCCTGCCAAGCAGCAGATGTTTCAATGGGCGTGTCACACTCTGGGCTTGAAGCACGTCTTGTATGCACCAAGGTAACGCAATGCAGTCATCATGTGCCATACTAACCCTTCCCTCCAGATAAAGGCTAACCAAAGTAATATAATTAAATGAGAAAAAAGTGGCATTTAAAGTCAAAGAAACCCAAAATCATCCCTAAAACTACAGGGCTATTACTGAAATATCACGAGAAAACTATGGTCACTAAAATACTGAGCATAACAAATACATATAGGCTAAGACAGGAAACAGCAGAACAACAATTATAAAGCTCATTTCAGCACAAGGCAAAAAAAAAAAGCAAGCTAGAAAAGTCCTGATGCATAGTTCATCCGTTACTCACCTGACGAGTCGGTGTGAGACTCTGAACCAGAGGACACTTGTTTCTTGCACCCACCGATTAACGGGAAAGTGAGCACCGCAGCAGGGTCTACACAGTCCGCAGACAAGCCGCCGGGGGCTGGCGCGTCAGCTGGGGCACACTGCGCCCTCCCCAGGGATGCAAGTGCAGAACTGGCAGCGACTTTGGCGGGATAGGAGGCGAAGCGCTCCCCGACAACTCTCTCCAGCTGCTGCCCAGCCGACAAGCCACTCCACATGCAGTCCTGGATGATGATGGAGCTCAGGTTCCCGATGGAGTCACTAGTAGTGGTCAGCTTGCAAGGCAGGTCCTGCTGCTGTTCATCCTCCTGCCCTAAAAACTGGGAGACCCACTCTAGCTTGTCCCCCAGAGACGGGTACAGCAGACCGACCCTGCCAGACCCTTCCACCGCCCGGATAGGGGACATGGGTGGGGTCAGCACCAGCTCGAATTTCTTCCATATGTCCTCGCTGGGCGCTGTGGACTTGAAGAAATCCTCATCCGGGTCGCGGTCGTCGTAGAAATAATGTTGGTAGTGGTCGAGGTGGTCCATGTCCCAGTTTTCATAACGAGGCGCGGTGGAGCTAAGGCTTGGCATGGGGGCTGCAGGCAGGCAGATCACTCCCTGTTCCCCAAGTCTGTAGAGACATACACAGCCAAGAGTTGTAGGCTAGAAGTGAGTTTTATGGCTCATCAAAATAAGCAGCTATGTTAACATCCTGGACAATTAGCTAAATTGTTTGACAAAGTAAAACAATAAACGCAAAGCCCTATACTTCACCAACTACAGGTATAACAGAAACTACGTGGCCTGTCAATTAAATTAAATTAAATTAAATTAAAGACTTCATTTGAGCCTAAAGGGTCACTGAGCAGCCTGACACACAGCTTGGGGGAAACTATCACTGCTGATTTTTTTTTTTAGCCATGGATACAAAGTGTCCGATGCGTAAATCCCGCAAAGTTAAACTCTCGCTTTGCTACAGAGAAGTTCAAGTTTCGCAAGTGTTTCATTACATAACAGTTTTAGTAGTAGTTTACACTGTGACGGGGGGAGAGAGAGAGAGAGAGGCTCGAATGACTGCTCAGCAGAAACAGAGTGGAGTTAAATTAGACTGAAACAGATTAATGGGAAGACTACCCCTTCTTCCTACCAACAAATCTGTTCAGACGGAGATATGTAAAGCAGCTCCTTTTGGCTCCTCCTCGGTTCAACTCCTTATCAAGCTCAAAGAATTCAGCTGCGACTACTGAGCGCAGATCAGTTCATTAAGATGCAGACGCGCTGGAAAACTGCAAACCCCAAAACATGAAGCGGTTATTACCTGAAACCTCTTTTACATGTGGCTGCGAATTGATATTATCATATAAGAAGCCGATGTGGAATCAGAAGAGTTTTACCTCCTGTTGACAGTGGAAAACCTTCCTGCGTCTTCATAGATCCCCTGTGCGCATTATAAGTGTTCAAAAAAGAGCAAACACAATATTTCCCAAAGACAAGTCTTGTTCAAATGTGACCTTTTTTTTAATCTGCTGACCCGTTTGGAGTCTTTTCAGGTTGTATAGGGTCGTTGTGACATATAAGTCCGTTCTGGTCGCAGTCCCACCTCTCGAAGGGCGGAGAAGCTGTAGCTGCGGTCTGTTTGCTAACTACTGCACTATATTATCTAGAGGAAGGACAGTTGGCTGTTATGCATAAGAGGCGGGCCGTAGTAGGAGAGCCACGCCCCTTTAAAGGTGCAGCACAACACACCACTCAGCAAAGGCTGCAGACGGTTCGAAGACTGGTTTCATTAAATGACCCAGTTCTGATTTTGTAATAATTAAACATGCGTAATCACAACTTGTGCATGTATGAATGTAAACACAGTTGAGCAAATGCATGAGCAGGACGTCTTCCACAACAGGGACAACAATTATTGATGTGTGTGTGATGGTCACACATGCGCACATATGTACATGCAGCCATATGTGGACATATGGCTGCAGTGTCTGGTGTCTTCAGTGCAGCTTATGATCTCTAATCAATATCAAGTTTATGACTTGGAGCACTCCCTCTGTGAAAGTGAGTGTGGAAGCAAGGCTCTGTCTACCCTATACACACACATACACAAAGACTGACAACTGCTGACATTTGTTTTTTTTCCTGCCATATGAAACCATTTCACTACTGCCAGTTTCTATTCAAGAGCCAGACAAACTTTGCCACACTCAGTCTTGAGGATGATGATTGGGAAACATCCGTCCTATAGCTGCTCCTCTGAAGTTCCCCCCTCCAGCAAGCTGGAGGGGGGAGGCAGCATGAAATCCTTGTCTGTCCATTTTATCATCTCATCAAACTCAGA